TAGATTTCTTAGCACTCGTTATGCATCATAGTATTGTATTATTTAATGCATTCTTATTTAAAACATTCAATTTAAAAGGAAATAGAATAATTTTAGATGAATCTGACACGACTCTGTTCATCCTTTTCCAAAATTTGAATCCTTCGCACTTTTACCATAACTTACGCAAAATATAGCATTGAGATTTTGGCTGAAATAACATAATCATACAAAGAATTAGTTTTTTTAGAATAATAAGCCAGTAAAAATGCCTGAATGTTTTATTGCATTCCTGCTTCCAAGAAATGACTTTTAGATTTCACCAGAATTTATGTGTATAGTATTTGGGCTGTGTAATAGCATGAATTAGCACTGCTACTAAGGTCTTGGGTCCTCAATTTGATTTCAGGATGGGGAGCTTCAAAGTGGCATTTACATGTTCGAACCTTCTCCACATGTGTTTTCTGCTACCTCATACAGACATGCTGGTTATGTTAATTGCTGTCTCTAAATGATGTGCGTACCAATGCATGCCCTATGATGGACAGTTGTCCAGGTAGTGCTATACTTACAGAATGAGTTGCAGGCTACTCCCAACCTTTACCAGGAATGAACAGCTTTCTGATGACGGATGGATGTTCGTAACACTGGTTTCTACTTTACTTCTTTTTGCTTGAATCTTTGCCACTCTAACTTCAGCCACAATTAAATTCTACAGTAAATGGATGACTCATTTGGCCTCAATGCAGCATGATAGTTTTACTCACCACTAGGTGGTAAATTGGTAAGTGAGCAACTGTAAATAAATGGACATTCCATTTATTTACATTGTTTAAAATGCCACTTTCAGCAAGAATAAATAACAATCCAACTATTATTCAGGTTTACAATAAAAATGTAAAGCCTATTTTCATTATTTCATTAAGAGTATTGAAAGCAAAACTGATATAATAAAGTATATTAAAGCATATTCATAATTATGGTTGAAGGGAGTATAGATCATTGTATTAATACTGCAGTGCAAAATGAACAGAACTATATAACCTTTAACGTGCATTTTTCAAAATAGTAATGGATTTTTTCTGAAAAGCACCATTTTAATTCTTAGTGACTAGCAT